GTGCCGCCTCTGGCTTCCCACTGCCTTCTAGCTGCTCAGCAAGCTGCGGAGGGGAGAAGGGAATTACAAAATGATGTAACAGAAAAGAATGGTTTTGAGAGGTGCCTGGAAGTGAAAGGGTTGTGGGCTTAGAGCAAAGAACAACTGTGGAAGGATGGAGGAGAAGGCACAGTAAGGCTTCAGTTCAGGTAGGTCTTCTCTGGAGTTCATGATCAACACCATATAAAATTGTAAAGTTGGTAAAGCTAATCTCCGAACTTGTACTTCCATTCGATGTTATTAACGAACAGTGTTTATTCCTTTCTCTATTCTCCCCAGGCTGAAAACCAGCTTTTCCGACACCAGAGTTTTGAGGTTTTTAAAAAAGCAATCCTTGACAATTTCATACATGTACATACTGGATTTGTGGCATTCTCCATTTGCCTCTGTAGTCCTTCTCTCCCACTGAAACCCTTCTCCCAATGAACTGCTTTGAGGTCTTTCTTTCTTTTTTATTTTAATTCACTGAGTTTAACTATGGCTGTTTGCATAAGCACCAGTTGGAGTTTATTTAGAGGAACACGGACAACTTAAGAATGGTGTCACCAGTGAAGAAAATGATACCCCATCCACCAGCATCCAGTAGCATCTCATAATCCCTCATTGAGGGGTGAGAGTTCATGAGCCCCTGCCCCGTGCATGATGAAATGGTGGTGAGCCCAATCTTGTGCAGGTAACCACAGCTGCACCAAGTTTATGGGTGCAGTGATGGTGCCATATCCAGAAAACACTGTTTCACAGCATTCCTGTCCAACTTTGGGTTCTTACTTCTTTCTGCTCCGCACAGTCACTTATCCTCTGTACTTTGACCAGTTATGAGTCTGCTTCCTACTGCAAAAAAAAAAAAAAAAAGCAGCTTCTGCAACGAAGGCTAAGAGCAGGACTAATCTATGGGCATAAAGGTAAATATTTAGAAGGCAGTATGACAAGAAGCTAGATAAGGCCAGTACAGGGGGCAAGTATAGAAGCCTTAAGGAAGGGAAGATAGCATAGCATATGTGATATGGAAGTAGAGGGGAAATACCTAGGGTGGAAAGGTGTAAGTGGGGATGGGAGTAGAAGGATAAATAAAGGAAAGGGGAGACTCAGGGGGAAGGTTATTCAAAACTAAGAATGCATGAAAAAACCCTTCAGAAACTACTATTTTAAAAATCTTTAAAAAACATAATTAAGGGCTGGAGTGATGGCTCAGTGGTTAACAGAACTGGCCACTGTTGCAGAGGAACCCAGTTTGTTTGCTAGCACCTACATGGCTACTAACAGAAATCCAAAACTCCAGCTCCAGGAGCTCCCTCCATAGGCTCTGCATGACACAGGTACACCTACATACATGCAAGCAAACACTCATAAAATAAAATTTCATTTTTAAATGTTTAAAATGTTTTTTAAAACACGATTTAAAAAAGATTGAATGGAGGTAGCCTGAATGGGTACATAAGGCTTCTCCCAGAAGCCAGGGGTTATTAAATGAAAATCCAGTACCAGGCATAGGATGCTTCCCTATGAGCTGTTGGTCAGAGAGGCCTCAGAGATCTCCCAAACAATCCCAAAAATATCATCAGTGATTGACCATGAAAACTAGATTGCAGGACCTTATGGCTAAAGACACCACACACTTGGGTTTGTAGAACCCTGAAAAATCAAGCTGGATTTGAGCTGGATGTTTCTCCATGCTGGCTAGCATACAGAGTGCTGGAAGATGCTATTCAAGCTACTTCATGGGGAAAAGTCATCAATGGTCCTATCCAGCTGTAGACCCAAGCGTAGGGGAAAGGAATAGTGGCCTGCCTGGCAATATATATGTCCTGGTGCAATAGTGCCACAACTATTTTGGGAGCAACCAACCACTTTGTTAAATTTGAGGTTTGCTCCACAGGAGAGAACTCATGCATGGTACTGTAAGCCTGGAAAAGAACCTGTGGCTGAGGAGGTCATAGGCCCTAGATCAGAACCTACTGCTGCTGTTTTGCTAAGATGATACCTTGTTAAAAGCTATCCTCTCTCTTAGAGTACGTATACATAAAGTTCCATTTCTTAAGTATTAGACATAGAAATCTCTCAAGGCTAAACAAGGGAATGCTCAGATATCATTGGGAAGAGGGGGCAATTACTAGAAGTTCAAGGAATCCTTCCTGGAGCATCTCTAAATTAAAAACCAACTTTAACTTTATGAGATCCACTTTACTCTTACCAAAGTTTATTTCTAAAGTACCTACCATTCTGTATTCCTTTCCTCTATGCATATCCCTAGGTTTCTTAATGAACAAGAGTCATACAGAAGGTCTGAGAGAGTAACAACCGGAGGAGGGCTGGGGAGATGGCTCAGTGGTTATGAGGGCTTGCTATGCAATCATGAGGACCAGAGTGCAACCTGTGAGTGTCTATAACCCCAGTTCCAAAGGGGGCAGAGACAGAAGGATGACTGAGACTTGCTGGCTTACAGCCTTGCTAAGAAAATGCAAGTCTCAGGTTCAGGGAGAGACCCTGTCTCAAAGGGTTGGACAAAAAGTGATAGAGGAAGACACCTGATGCCCTCTTCTGGCCTCTGTGCACACACGTGGACACACACACAGACACACACATGCACACAATAAATATCTCCAAACATACAGGACCATGGGAAAAGTATGCTTAAGGAAGCATCAGTGAAGACTAATTCTAAATGAGTAGGGGTGATACTTCATTTATATTTAGTTTTCTGTGTGATTTAAAGTAGTGCAGGTATTCTTATTAATTTGTCTACTTATTCAAGATGAATATGAATGTAAATCATTTTAATATTTATAAATAAGGAGAACCTCTGGAACTTGCTGGCTTCCAATGTAGCTGAAAAATGGTGAGTTCTAGGGTCAGTGAGAGACCCTGGCTCAAGGGAATAAGGTGGAGAGACAGAGAACACCTGATGGCATTTTAAATATATGCTCACTAAATAAAACAGCGTTACCGCTTTTCTGACTGTGATGGCAACTAGTTAGGTCTCCAAAGTGTTGTCATAAACCTGATGTATAATTTGGACTGATACATCTTTATACAAATCCTTGAGCATAGTGCAGGTAGGTGAATGTTGTTTTATTTTGCTGTGTGGCTTTAGGTGTCAACAATTCTGTTAGAACAAAAACTGGACAAGAGAGTGTGAATGATACATTATTTCTTGGTTATGTTATGCTTATAAAATGACAGATAACACAGTTTTGCCTTCAAAGTCTTGGGCACTTGTAAAAATGGCTTTTTGAGATATAATTCACATACTATATAATTCATCCTGTCATCAGTCCAATTCTTCCTATTAATGTTTATGCATTGGCTATTAAGTCCCAGGCAACACACACATTGTTTCATAAATTCCATTATGGGGTCTGGGGATGCAGCTTGGTTAGTAGTGCTCGCACAGCAAGCAGGAAATCCTGGGTTTGATCCTCAGCACCCCATAAAACCTCCCAGCACTGGGGAGGTGGAGGCAGAAGGATCAGTTCAAAGTCAACGGGGCAGGGTGGTGGACAGCTTTAATCCCAGCAATTGGGAGGCAGAAGCAGGTGGATCTTTGTGAGTTCGAGGCCAGTCTGATCTACAAAACGAATCCCAGGACTATATAGCGAAACCCTATCTTAAAAAAAAAAAAAAAAAAAAAAAAAAAAAAAAAGAAGTTAGGGGGCTGGAGAGATGGCTCCCGGGTTAGGAGTACTGACTGCTCTTGCAAAGGACCCGAGTTCGATTCTCAGCACCCACATGGAGGCTATGAACTGTCCTTAACTCTGTAGAGTTCAGGGGCATCTGAAGCCCTCTTCTGACCTCCCCGGCATTGCACGATACGGGTGCACTCACATACATGCAGGCAATACACTCATACACATAAAATAAAAATAATTTTAAAAAGAAAGTTCAAAGTCATGTTCTGCTACCTGGGATACATGAAATACTTTTTAAAAAATCTTTAAGGTAGTTATTGTAACAGTCAAATTTATTAACAAATCACAAGTTAAATACTGTGTGAAGTTGAAGGTCTGAACGCAGGAGTTCATTTTCTTTACATAGCATGCTGCCACCCTTTGGAAACTTTGTTCTTCATAGAATGGTTAAAAAAGGGGAGGGGGGCAGGAAGAACCCGCGAGAGGAAGGCAGTAATCTTGCAACCCTAGTTGTTATGTCACCTTGACATCTGATTTTTAAGAGGCTCCATTTCCCCTTTTGATATCTGTTGGCTTCAAATACAACTTGTAGAGTCTCACTTGAAGCATACAAAAACATGCGAAGATAAATCAAGGGAAAGGCCAACTTGATACAGGTTTCTCCCACGTTTTCATCCCCTTTAGAGCCGTCTTCTTCAATACGTCTTTCACTGTCCGTTCACCAAGGAAATGGGGCATGATTTTCACTGCAGCTTAGGTGTGTGTGTGTGTGTGTGTGTGTGTGTGTGTGTGTGTGTGTGTGCCTGTCGGCGAGCGTCCAGGAGGCGTCACAAAGAGCCCATGAAAGGTCCGTACCGACTGCAAGAATGCGAGAGCTAGGAGGAACCTAGGAAGGGCACGGCGGCCAAACACTGGGTTCCCAGCGGTCTTTGTGCCAGTATTCCCTGGCCTGGGGCTTGGAGATTGGAAAGGACAAGCCCAAGTCACCGAGCTGAGCGCTTTCGGCCATATCTTAGCCGGCCCCGCCCTCTCGCTGGAATGAATGCGCAAATAAGAGTTTGCAGGCGGCGGCGGGAAGAGAGGAGGGGCCGGCCAGGCGAGGAGGGCCGGGCAGAGCGGCACGCGACGGCGGAAGAGCGCCCAACTCGCAGGGAGGATCGTGCAAACATCCAGACCCCGGGCGGCTACGGGCACGCCAGGATGCCGGGCGCCGGGGGACAGCTCCGGGCTGCAGGGCGCAGGCGCGTCTAGCCCGCGCTCCGAGCCACGCCCCCCGTCCCCCGCCCTCGAGTCCTATTTGGTATGGACCTGCCGGCGGGGCGGGGCCGCGGACGCCATTCCCACAATGCTCCGGGGCGTGCCGCCGCCGTCGCTGCCGCCTCCGCTACCGCTAGTGGAAGAAGATGGCGGAAGGCGGAGCGGCGGACCTGGACACCCAGCGTTCTGACATCGCGACGCTGCTCAAAACCTCGCTCCGCAAAGGGGACACTTGGTAGGGGACCGGCGTCGGCGTGGCCGCGGTGACCCGAGAGGGGTGGAGAGCTGGGCGGGAGCCGCGGGCTGGTGTCTCTGGCTGGTGACAGGTGCGGGCAGGTCCGCCCCGGGGCAGCAGGATTTGGGGGCAAAGGTTGGACCCGAGCGGAGGGCCGTGGCTCTCGGCGGGCGGTGCGCGCCCGGTGCTGTGCGGGAGCGGCGGCGGCGGCTCTCGGGGCCCCGGGTCCTCCTCCGGCTCATAGAGCCGCTCCCACCTCGGGCCTTCCCGGGTCGGTGCAGCTGTTCGGCACGAGCCTGGCGCTGCTTTTGACAGATCCTGGTCCCGCGGCCCCGCTAGTTCGCTTGCCGCGCTTCTCCGGTCGTTTGCTGGGCCAGCCACGACGGCACCCAAGTTCCCCATTATTCTGATTCTTGTAGTCTTCCGGGACTCGGGCTGCAGGATGTTTGCGGTGGGTACCACACAGGTGGCATGTGTCAGGGCTTCACTCAGAAGGAAGCCCTTAATTTCCAGTTCCTCGTGGAAAGGAGGGAGAGGAGTAGGGTCCCGCAGGGTTCGGAGAGGCACCACGTGGTCCTGTGCCTTACTGGTGGCTAGTTGGAAGCCGGCAGCGTTTCTATTAGAAGTGCAGCCCTCCCCGCCTGCGTGAAGGATAACACAGGCCTGCAGAAAGTAGATAACTCCACTGGAAGCTTAAGTAGCTCGCTAATGTTCAAATTTGTAAAATACCAAAAAGCACACTGCACTTAAAACACTGAAGGAAGTATGTGGAAATGTTAATACTAGCCAGCCACGCTGTGACATCCAGAATAACTTAAATATGTGGATATGTAGCGAAAAGAGAAAGTATTGTAGAGGAGGGGCAGTGTGCTTGTTTATTATAATAAAAAGTTATTTTCACGTCCCCCTTCCGTCATAGCAGTGGTTTATAACTTTTGGTTTTGTTTTTTTTTAAGTAGCCTAGTGTTGCTTAGTATAAAGAAGCTGAGACTTAGACCCAGGCTGAGATTTATTTCTACCTTGCAGCCTGACTTAGAAGCAGCTTCATTTAACTCATTGCACCTCCGTATCTCCATCTGTAAAAGGAATAGTGATAGTTTTATTTCTGCCATTAACTCCTGACATAATGCTGTAGTATTAGAATCATTTTCAAGTAGGCTAGTGGGAGACAGACTTGGAACTTGAAATTAAGTACTTTGATCTAAGTTTGTTAATTTGTTAGGCTACATACTCTGTATATTAAAGACCTTTAATGATTAAAAACACACTTTTACTTTTGCAAACAGTATGATTTTTTTGTGGCTTTATTCATTATTGCTTATATTCTAATGCTCCTACCATTTATTACTGAGGAGAAATTGGACATTTCCTAGAACACCTACCTATGTTCTACCTTGGCCTGTGGAGTTTTAAAGAATAAACCAAACCCTGTTCTTTCTTATATGTTGAACATTCTTCAAAAACTAATCCATTCATTGTATTATCACCTTATAAAACTAGTGTGGCTATCCATAACATAGAAATCTACATATTAAATGTGGATATTTTTCACTTTTATGTTTTGGTATGCTGAGTAATATCCTGAATTATGTTGCCACCGCAGCGTGTTGTATGTGTATTATGGGCATTAAACTTGATCGTTTGATATTTTTCAAATGAGTATATTTTTACTTCTTGACAAAGTTACTGTAAGTTATGGTAAAGAGAAGCTAAAGAAGTCCACATTGAGTTATCACAGTACTTTCATTTCTGAAGTGAAACCCAAGGCCCTTGTTTTAAGCAGCAGCTGAGTGTGCAGTCTTCACCTTCCCATTAATTTTCTCTTTTACTTAATGAAAAAAAGGAAGTGCAGGCACAACATGATATTGGAGCTTTAAAAAACTTTTGATTTATATATGAGTCAATATACTTGCGAATTGGAAAGTAAAGTCTGTCGTCATACCCCCCCCCCACCAGAGAAATAGTGTGGACCAAAAGCTTGGTTCAGAGTTTCAAGGCGAATAATTTGGAAAGTACAGTTTGATAATGAACTTAAAATTGGTAGAGATACTTAGTGATAATTTAGTTGTTGAGTTCATTTTGAAACTTAATGTTAAATTTTCTTTTAAAACATTTTCTAAAAAATCTCCAGATTAGGCTTTTATGGTAGGCAAATCTTATTTTATAGCTGGCCATATGTCTTGGCATATGCATATAATCATCTCAGAAAAACTGATTGATTATTGGGTTAAGAAAAAAAAATAGGTTACCATAAGTTTATTCTTGAAAGCTTAATACAGGTTTTTAAAAGAGTTATTTTATTTTGTTTTACCTGCACATATGTGTGTGCATCACACAAGTGCAGTGCCTTCAAAAGTCAGAAGAGGGTGCCAGATTCCCCAGGAACTGGAGCTAAAGATGGTTGTGAGCTACCATATGGGTACTGGGAACTGAATCCAGGTCCTCTGAAAGATCCACAAGTGCTGAGCCATCTCACTAGACCCTTAATACATACTTGTGAAGTTACAGTCAAATGTGCTAAATTTTGCTAATTAGCTCTTGAGCTTTTTTACAGTTACCAGAGCACTGTAAGAAAGTCCTAATTCAAATACCCAGGCAGATAGAAAGATTTGATTCTACATGAATACCAGAGTTTCTGTTTATTTGTAAACAGAAAGTGATTTTCTGAGGACACAAGTTTGAGATGAAGAAAAATGTACTTTAGAATTGGTACTAGATTTGTAGTGAGAAGTACATCAATGTTGATTCAAGAGTTTATACCTTTAAGAAAGATAAGATAGAAAAGTAACACTAATCTTCATGAAGAGTAAAACAGTATCTCGTAATAATATTTGTTCAACTGTGATTCACTTCTGGCTAGACATTCAGAAAACCGTGAATTAAGGCAGAATTAGGGACTACAGAAAAAGTATTGAAAAACTAAAGTTGTTTAGCATAGGATGAGTCAAAGACACCTTTCAGATACATGTTGGGTTTTCCTGATAAGACAAAAGATTTGCTCAGTTTTCATGCTTAAAACATGAACATTTTAGGAGCCTAAAGATGATAAAGAGTAAGTTACAAGGAAAATTATGGATTATAAATGGTCTATTTGGAGATTTCTCTCAAAATGGACCTATTATGAATAGGTAAACTATAAATCATCAAAATCATTCCTTCATTTTCCCAAGTTTTATCTGCCAGTCATTTTCAATGATTGTTGTGTTGATGTGTAGCTAAATGTTATATGCTGTATTTATACAACCCTTAGGATATCTAGTAGGTTTAAGGTACCTTTGGAGAATAAGTTTAGTGTTTAGTCATTTAACTTGTCCATGTTTTTGTTTTAATACTTTTCCAAAGAATCTGATCAGCAAGGTTTAGACAGAAGACATTAATTTTGGTGTTTAGCACTTTCCCTCCATTATTACTGTTTTTCTTAGAAGCCTTTGAGGTTTTATTTGATCCCTTAGGTTTGTGCAACTTTGACAATAATTTATGGTCACTAATCAGTTAATACAGACACACTGTTAACATAATTACGAATTATTTAGCATATTCTTACAAAAGAAACTTTTACATTCCTTTAGTTGTATCAGTGAATTTACCACCAAATGGGGCATATATTCTATCACTTTTATAGGATTTGAAACTAGAAAGCAAAACTTTAAGAATATTAGTATGTTGGTGAAAATAAAGATAGAAATAGTAACTTTAAGGCATTTTTTTGTTTGGTTTGGTTTTTTGTTTGATTTTTTAAAATTATTACTATTATTATTATTTTGTCTTTTTGAGACAGGGTCTCCATGTAGCCTCAGCTGTCCTGGATTTACTATGGAGACCAGGCTAGCCTTGAACTCTCAGAGATCCACCTGCCTCTGCCTCCCGAGTGCTGGGATTAAAGGTGTGCTCTACCACGCCTGGCTATTTTGCTATTAACAATATTTTTATTATTTTTATTTTATGTGCATGAGTATATTGCCTGCATGTGCAAAGCCCGAGGGGGCTAGAGTCCCTGGAACTGGAGTTAACAGATGGTTGTTAGCCACCATGTGGGTGCTGGGAATTGAACCCACATCCTCTGTAAGAGCAGTCAGTGCTCTTAACCACTGGGCCATCTCTCCAGCCCCCTAAAGCATATTTTTTATATTTTAGTTGCTTTACTTGTCTCTGGAGAGACAAGTTTTCTTACTTTAACCCTTGATGGCAAGCTTATCAGTAAATCAAGGATTCCCCTATGCTCTATTTAGCCAAGACCCAGAGCTAATCAAGGAGTTCATTTATATTGTGGCAGTAAAGCTTTTTTTCCCTAAGTTATACAGTTTCCCCATTAGTATATTTAAAGTATTAAATGATCTTTTACAAAGTGGTTTTGTAACAGTTATTACTCTTGCAACACTTCTGTGCCACGTGCTGCTATAAGTATATATTGACTTAATTCCTCATTGTTGCAATTCAAGGAGCCTCTGCTACTGTTCATGTGTGACAGGGTGGGAATCCCAGGCTCAGAAACTGTTCTCACAGCGGTACAGCTTGAGTTTGACCATAAGTAGTTTGGGTCTTAGGTTCATACCCTCAAATCACTGCACTAAACTGCTTTTTATTTTAAAGATTCGTGTAAAATAGAGATAAAAAGACTTCTTTTCCTCTTTAGAGAGCTTATTTTATATTTAGCAACAGAATTCTATGACGCTATCCCACACTTATTTCTGTGACTATTCAGTTTAAATGTGATGGAGTATGTCGAAAATCTTAACATCTTGTTTCTGGAAATTAAATTGCAGTTAAAGATTGATAGGCAAATAACTGAATATATAGAACAGTTATTTTATAGATAATGATTGGAACAAAACTATCTGTAATCATTTACTGGTAGACTTGAATTTTAATTTTTTATTGGTGATCATAAATTTGTATAAGGCATGTTCTCAATTGTTTTGCAGAAATAACATAACAAGCATGGTAGTGAGATCTAGTAGTATAGGATATTTTGTGTTAGTATTTTTATTTTGTCTGTATTT